AAACTTCCCCCTTTCTTTGAAAATAAAGATTTCCTAAAAAGGGTTTTTGTGCAGAAGACGTCAGAGATACCTCCAGAAAATTCAAGGTGAAAAAGCTTGTCCATTCATATATTTTCCAGATTCACCTGGATCCAGAGTAATCATCTGATTTTGTTTTCAGTAGAAGTCAGAAAATGCAGAAAAGCGGGAAAAATGCATATTACGAATTCCGTACAGTGAAGCCATGTTGCTTGAAGCAACTTGCTTCTTCCAGACAAAAAAGTGTACACTGGTGCTAAAAAAAAGAACGAATAAGACGAAGCAGTTCCAAAAAAAAAACCAAAAAATAGAAGCAGTCTGTGTTTGCACAAGCATTGCTTTTTGGAGCTTTTTTCTGTGGGTGGGTGTCTATAAAACCACACACACAACAGAAATTGTGCACTTCCCGTGAACTTGGAGCTACCACTATTTTTAGAGATTATAAGAGACGAACTACACATTTTTTAGGAACTAGGCCAATAGGAGGAAATAATTATATTCCTATTGTGCGCTCCAGGCGCTTTAAAAGGATTTTTCGAAAGGATAGAAAACCAGAGAAGATTGACGTCAATGAGAAGCTATAATTTGTGAAGAAATGAAGGTTTTTGTCTAATAATTACAGGCTACATGATCGTTGAAAAATGTCAGTGATCAGCTCGATTTTTGTTGTTGTTTTCTGGTATTTCAAATGATGTGTATTGATATTTGAGGTTTGGACAGGTTACGGTAGAATTTCAGAGCTAAGTTTTTGGGTGGAAATTGACCAGGTGTTGGGACAGAGGGCAAATGATCAGGACGTGATCTTTGCATTTCACAAGATGAGAGAGAGAGAGAGAGAGAGAGAGAGACAGAGAGAGAGAGAGAATCCGTCTGATGAGCCTCCTGAAAAAAACAAGGCAATCATTCAAGTTTCACACAGAAAAGCTGGCTCGTAGCCAAGACACAATGTTAGCATGAGTGTTAATGTTTTTTTTTTGCAAAAAAACCGGAAGAGAAAGAAAAGATGAATGGGTTGAGGGGGCGGATCACAAGCAAAAAAAGATGTCGCTTTTCTCTCTTGAAGAGTGAAATGAAAAATGGGTTCCGTTGTCGGCAGAACAATACAACACTATGGTGAAAGAGGATGAGCCTGAGCAGTTCGAAAAAAAGAGAAAGTGCGATGGTTTTTGGAGAAAGGGGTGTGATATAGTACAAAAATGGCATCGGATCAGAAATCGGAAACCTAGAGGGCATCGTCTGGGAAACGGTGAGCATGGGATTCAGGAAACTGCTTACGACGAGGGGATTTTCAAGCTTTGAGAAGAGAGAAAAATTCTGATTGTTCGGCAGCTCAAAAACATCTTCGATGGAGACAACTACCCTGAAACCTGTATTAGAAGCGCCATCCCTTCTATCGTTACAAGCCTCTCTTGGAGGGCTCTTCTGTTATAGGGGTCCTTTTATTTTTACAAGCCCCGCTGGGAGGACCCTTCTAATACAGGTTTTACCGTAATTGGGGTAATTGACAAATCTGTGAATTTTGATAGAAGTTCTTGCGTAGCCTACCAGTTCTGATCGGAGGTTACTTCAAATTGATTGGATTGAATTTTAAAATCTATTTGATACATATATTGTTCACAAATATTTGAACTGAACTTCTTACCCCGATTTTAATGATGGTTCGAGATTGCTGAGGCACATTACCCAGATTCTGATGTCCTTCTTTCTATCCCATCCGAAACGTTTCGACAAATCACCAAAAGTGTAAAGCCAATGGAAAAATGATGTAAAAGTGTATATGAAGTGTACTTTATTGTGCCCCCGTTACTCTAGAAAAGCGGTGGTCCCAACCCTTCCTCGTCTATGAAAAATGCATTAATTCTTCATTGTGTTTGGCAGTTGCGTGCCAATATTGACGCACACAACTAAGTCTCCTTAGACGTTCAATATTAAAGCTCATAAAAAAGTCTGACGAACGGGGTTGGGGAGATGAAGGATGGATAGAGTTGGGGATATGGGGGAGAACAACTAATGGGAATTCATGTACTCGGAAGAAAATTGCTCATTTGGATCAAGTTTCGTCTGGGGATCGAGTTTTTTTTCACTGGAGTTTGTTCCATCTGTTCAGATATTCCTTTTCTGAAGATTGATGGAATATTTGACCAGGTGGTCTGAGGGATAGAGTTTCAGATGGCGAATGGAAAAATGAGACGAACTTGGCATTCGGAACTTCAGGGGATTACCGTAAATGATCCAATAGAAATCGATCCTATAGAACTTTTAAAGCTTAATTATCTCGGTTCGTTCAAAAGATATCAAAAACTTGTCAACTAATAAAATGTTGGTCGCTTCATGAAAAACATTATATCAGTTGAAGGAATTTTGATATCTGCTGAAGGAACCGAGATATATGAGCTCAAACTAGATGATTATTCTAAGGTTCATACTAAATAGACCCAAAATTTTTTAAAGGTTGTCATATTCAGGCAAGAAAAAGTTGCTTGAAATTTTGAAGTATGCTTCTGATCAATTTTCCAGCTTCAAATTCACAAGTATATGCTTTCCCCTCATCGATAAAAATTGTATAGAATTAGGAAAATTAGAATCGTTGCCAGAAATGCTGCGGCTAGCCTTAGCCGGCCTTTGTATTTTTTTTCTAAAGCCGCGACCGACCGGGGCACAACCTTGGTTATCACACAATCTGGAAATATACCAATCTATCGAGCATTCCCCTTTCCATGGTATTACTGTGCTCAATTTAAAAGGAAACTTATAAAAAATCTTCATCTCACAACGAAAAAAAAGAAAATGTCTGCCGTTTTAGTTGGCATTCCTAGAGGATTTTGGAAGGTGCCAAGCGGCTCTGAAGAGGGGTTTTTTTTTCAAAAAGCAAAAAAGGGATTGTGAGAGAGGGAGAGAGGACAAGTGTCTCTGTGACTTCCGTGGGGGTTGTTGTATGTATCCCCAACCCCCACTTTGCTGAAAAAAAGGAGCTCGAGAGGGAGGGAAAAGCAAAAGGAAATGTCCGCCTCCGTGTCCGGAGAAAAAAAAGAAGAGGAGGAGGTCCCTTCTTGCATTTATTTAGCAATTCTTCGTTTTTTCTTTAGAGAAGATCTTCAGGAATTTATTCATTCAATCTAGGAGGAGCAAGACTACTACTATTGCTATACATAAATGACTCATCTGGATAAGATTCCGTTTTGGGTAAAAAATACTTGCGTGGGTTTAAAATAGGCTGAAAGAGGAAGTCATTTTTTAACAGACGCTCACTGCATCGACGGATGGAAGCCGTGAGGAATTTTACGATTACTTTTCTGTCACAAATCAAAACCGTCATGTGTGGCCTAGATGTCTTTCGAGAGCGAGATAATATTGAGAAGACGATGAAGACGGTTTTTTTTGTTGAGAAGAATGAGAATCACATGAGAAGAGAACCCGCATATGGAATGCTATAAATCAAGATGAGCGAATAGACTTAAGGAACATTGTCTAATTGGAAATATTTCATTCCAGACTCACGGATCTTTGATAATGTGGTTGAGAACTATGGAAATGGGAAAAATTTTACTAATCGGATTTGTATTTTAACAATGTCGGATTGAAACGAAATTCTGGATAACGAAAAATTTTTGGATAATGAAAGATGAATGATTTCCGAGTTGATTCGGGAATTTTTATAAGCCCAGCCTGACTAGCTTGATGCCAAAAAATCAGGTTTTAAAAATTAGGACATACCGTAAAAGCTGCAACAGAAGGGTCTTTGGACTTTTAACTTTGAGTCAATTTATGTCGGTTCCTGTCCAAAATATGAAAGCGTTGCTAACTGATAATTTGTTTGCATAATGTTGGGAGTGTTTTCCAGTTCAAAAACTTTGGTATCATTCACAGGAATTGAGCTGGTTGAGTTTAAACTAGACAGTGTGGGGGCCCTTCTATTAAAGGTTTTAGAGTATGTTTTCGGAAATTCGGAAACCTGAAAAACACTGTGTTTCTTGACATTAACTCTCGGAAAACTGGTAGTCTAAAAAACGAAATTTTTCCAAATCAGCTGGTCAGTTCTACCACATTGAACTACTTCAAAATTACAAAAAACCAATTTGTACGGTCTTTGAATTTCTTGATTTCTGGAAATTTAAAGTTTTCAACATTGAACAATACACCACTCCCGCCGAAGAAAACGTCTACAGTGCCGCCCTTTCTGCTCGGTTAAATCCCATCACATGACCAGATAATCGACGAATTATTGCTCCGTGTCTGGGGCTCCTAACCCGTAAATCGTTGATGAATGGGTGACAATGAATGTGTCGCACCAAAAAAAGAGCGCCCCGGATAAAAGGATAATAAAAAGTGATGCGATTGTGTCGTCTCATTATTGAGGATGGATGCCTTGTATTATCATGTCACCCGAATACAACCGCCTATTCTTCTCCTTCTTCTTTAATTGCGGAAACGAAGAGGACATATATAGATAGCGGGAAGAATTGTGGTGCCCCTAGATTTATGGCTTCTCCCTTCTTTTCTCTTTTTTATCGACGACGATTCTATTTCTGATTTCCTTTTTTACACGCTTTTTCATTCATTGATAATTGAAGATACGGGAAGGTTTGGGAGGGGGAGAAGACAGGGTGTGTTGGGAAGAATAGAGATGAAGAGAAGTAAGCGGAAGAGGAGGTGACTAAATCAACAGTGATCATGATTCTGATGACGATGACGATGTGGAAGGTGTCTATTTCATACGTATAGAAAAATAGGGTTGTAGGAATATAATGGGGTTACTCCAGCTTTGAAGGAATTGAAAAAGAAAAAACCCGGTATCAAAAATACTGTATTTTTAAGCAAAATTTTTACAAAAACAACTAGAGATCATTTTAGAGAGGCTAAAAAAAATTCTAAAAAACCCGGCCCGGCTTGTTAAAAGTATGGCATGAACTATTTAATGAAATGTAAAAATCCAATCATTCATTACAAGTTACAAAGCCAATTATGAATAATTATTATCCGTATTAAAATGAGATCACCAAGTAAAAAGCTGCCAAAATTAGCATAGATTGTACATCTGTAAATCACATTTCCTACAAGCACTCCAGTTTTATAAAACTCACTAAACATGGACACACCGGAGGAATCCAACCGCCACTTCAGCTTTCCGTCTACGTATCCTGTCATCTGAACATTCAAGTAAGATCCATACGCCCTGGATCTTGTTCCCTCCTGATTACCGGTTATTCTGAAAAATTTTTATTGAACTTTGCATAAACTTAATTTGAAAACTTACACAGTGCTCAGTGTCTTTTTCCAGTCACTATCGTAGATATTAATGTCCATTTCTGAACTTGTGCTACCACTCAACATCGCTCGATCAACATCTACCACGAATTGCTTTCGATCAGCACCAGTGTAAGCTGAAAAATGATCGAAATGGCTAAATAAGTTTGTTCATATTCATACCAAAAGTTAGATTTATAAATCGATTTGTGGCTTCACTGTTAAAATATATCGGTGAAAATATGAATCCACTTCTCTCGCCGTCCAATTGATAGTAACTGGGAGAAACGGTTGTAGTGAAGTTGAATTGAATGTGACAGTTTTCTACGATGAACGAGAAGTAAGGGTATGGGAATAGTTGTGGCAGTGCATATTGATCTTCTTTGAAGTTTATAAGAGCCTTTGAATCAGCAGTTGGGGGACCAGTTACGGCAGTACACTTGCATTCAGCTCCCTAGAACATGACAAAAGAAATTGAATCTGTTTTTCAATTACTAAAACTCACATCTCCCAAACGCATTTTGTTCAACACCAGCTGTCCTGCGTCCTTCGCAACAATCGTAACTCCAACTTTCTGTCCATGTTCTGCTGCAACATTTATATTTTCTATGATTTTATCAACTGTGACTCCAGCAAAATGATAATATCCATTGAGGTTAGCGGAAGGATTTAAAATCACTGATGAATGTGACACTTTTTCATCTAAACCGATAAAGTTATCACGTTTGAAGATGTGTTGAAATTGGTTAGAGTGTAGTCAACAAGTCTTTTGACTGTTTTCGGCTGATCTAAAAATCCATCAACTACGAAATAATTGTCGAATTCGTCGACAATGTAACCAGAGCGGGCAAGTGTCAAAATTATCTGAAATTCCAAATATTGTGGACTGAAAAATGAACTGCACAAACCGGTCCATCAGCGGAGAGAGTAATTGGTTTTCTTTGAATACTGTTCAACATCAGATAATTGAGATTTTGGCCTTTTTGAAGTGCTCGTTGTTCAGGGTTTGGCACTAGAGAAAAAAAGAATTATGATAATGTAATGGGGTTTTCAAAGAAAACTTACACTCCACATAAGAAATTGTCATCTGAAACTTTGATGTTGCATCAAAATTTTGAACGTTGACCAAAGTGGATGTTCCAGGGAATACATAGAAAACAACATCAGGATCGTTTCTGGAAACAATTTACATTTTCACAACTAATCTCATCTGCCTGTCTGATTATGGGAAATTTCGCTATAAAGGTTTGTTGGAGTCATATTGCTACGATACTCCACACTTACAATAGTTGCTAAAAATAGAATTTTTAAATATAATGTGGTCTAGAAAAGTTTCATGCCCGGCCTGGCCCGTTACTGTTATAGTTTTCAAGGAAGCACTAAACAGTTTCCGTTGACTTACCTTGTAATTTTTGTAACTGTCTTCTGTCCATCTGTCACAACTATGACGTCATCTACACCTTTTAAGTTATTAGACACTGTGATTTCAGCATAAACTTGTGTAGGAGGATTAACCTTAAATGTTCTGAATTAATCATTACAGACTTTTCTAAAACCAACCGCATATGTACAATTAAAATCAACTGGAAGTGTTACAGGACTATTTTGATTGTCTGGAATGTACAAGCTCTTTCCAGCCACCTGAGTGTTCAAAGGAATCTGAGTACAATCTGAAAAAAACTTTTTTTTCAAAATGAACAAAATTAGACCAACCTAACTGCTCTGAAAATGCAAAATATATTGAAAGTATCACGAATAGAAAACTCCAACCACTAAAGTTCATATTCTTGAAAAATTAGAATAGGAATCAAGATGTGCAAAGTGATGACCTTTAACTTCAAGACGATTTGATTTTTAAACCAAATAAAGGCATATGACCTATCAGTTTGTGAAGCACTTATGTGCTTTCTCCCACCCCACTCGTTTTATCGTTTTATCGTTTTTTTCTTCTATCTGTGGGCGAGAGAATCAAGGAAAGAAGAAGAACAAATTAAAATTTGTCATCGTATTAAAGTCGTTCGTTTTCTTACAGTTCCGGGAGACATCACAATGTGTCATTATTCTGTATTCTGTAGTCAGAAAACGTATTTATTTGAAAATCGTTAAAAACATTTCTATTGTTTTTGGTTCCAGTTGTAAAGACTTGACACAGTGAATTTTGCCGAGCAATTTGTCAAAATTATCGACAAATATTTTACATTCAATTTGATTGGATAAGTGATTGAGATGTCAGTGAAATCCACTAAAACCTTCGATGCACCATTAGGAGGTCCAGCTACAGCTTTTGCAATCATATGCGGTGGAGCCTAAGACTTCAAACATCATATATTTCATAACAGTTTATTCTCACCTCGGTAAAAGAAAAATCTGCAATGACTATACCATCAGAATCTTTCGAGAGCACCATATAAGCTAAATTAGAACATGCCGAATCAAAATTCACTGTTCTATTGGTAATGTCCCAATAGTTATCAGAATCGTATAACGTCATCGCAACGACTTCATCGTAAACTTCTGATTCATAAGTTTCCATAAGGACAACTGCCGATTCATCAGTGAACTCATCCAATCCTACAATGGTTACTGTATTAGTCTGACTACGGTAGCACACTGTTCCACACTGATTGAATTGAGAAATACGAGTCACTGCGGTTGGGTAGTGGAAATCTCCATCGACGACATAAAAGTTGTCGAAAATGTCATTTTGATATAAGGACTTTCCAAGGGTTACGGTTATCTAAAATTAGATTAACAATAATGTATTTTTTTAATTTAAACTAACCGCCTCGTTTGCCTGATATGTTACTAGTTGTCTTTCTTCTAACTCGATTTGAGTTTCATTCAAAGTTTGATAATTCATTACACTGCTTCCAGTTGCCAATGCTTGTAATGTTGGCGTTGACACTGAAAATATCAATTAAAAATTTAAACAAAAATGATTATCAACTTTTTTCGAAAGCAATATTGAGCAAGAACATTGAATTCATCTGAACACTTTTTGTTGTTACTTGAATCATGGTGATTGTGTGAGGGAAGATGGTGAACGTGGATAGAAACGGGCTACGGCTGAAATTTCAGAACTATCAGTAACAAGTGAAATGATTGAAATCACCTAGTGATGACTGTGCTTTTTCCCAAGCTATCTCGGACAATTATAACATCATTGAGTCCTTTGAGCTTGTTTTCTACTTGGAGTTTTGCAAAGACCATCAACGGTGGGTTTATCTGAAATCAGTAGCAAAAAACTAAACCATGTACGTGATATCTTACGACATAGGTGCAATTAAAATTAGCTGGAAGAACCACTGGCATAGTTGCTCCATTTGGGATTTTCAGTTGTTTCCCAGCCACTTGATCGCTTCGTGGAATCGGAGTGCAGTCTTAGAGTTACAAAATACCCAACAAAAAATGAAGAAAACGGTTTTACCCAATGAATATGCTGGTACTGTAATAGCCAAAGCAATTAAAATGGAATTTAAAATCTGGAAGCCCATAGTTCGCATTTTTTTAGAAAACTAAAATTGGAATCTATGATTTTCGATGACGGAAAACCTTATCAGTATTCAATTGATAAAAGGATTACACTTTTGAACTATCAATTATGGAAAACTTAAATTCAAAAAAGTTTATTGTTCTGGAGACTTCACAGTAAAAGAAAATGAGCACCCTTTGGCCATAACAGAAAAGTATTTCAAGTTGAATGTGTATGGCATGAGCCCTCTAGCAGTTGTCAGGTCGAGAAGAAGTTGAGAAGAGTTATTCGGTGGACCAGTGACAACTTGAGCAATACAGGAGGATGTTATTTCCTGAAAAAAGTTTTTATGGATCCCTGAAGAAAACTTTACAACTTACCTCATTGAAATTGAGAGAATTCATAATAATTTTTTTGCTATCAACTGCCAGAACTTGACATGCTTCTGGTTTCAAATAAGGATTGAACGCAACCTTGTCAAGTTCTCCATTGACACTTGCTTGGGAAGTCAAATACTCGAATTTATTGGCTTCTGATACAGGATTCAAAACAGCTGCAGTTGCATAATAGGCGTCAGTTTGGAATGTGACCAATGTGACACGATTGTTTAGGGAAACGAATGGAGCTGACTGCTCAAAGTCAATGAGACGGTGGACGGATGTTTGGTTGTAAAAATCTCCGTCGATGATGTAGGAATGGTAAAGGTACAATGTTGGGTACATAATTCGAGATGTCGCCAAACTCATGGAAATCTGAAATGATGGAACAGGTAAAAATCGCAATCCCAAAAACTAACCGGTTCATTTCCCTGTACCGTTATGGAATTCTGTAGGACGGGATTGAACCCTTTGAGAGTTGCCAAGTTTACATAATTCAGTGCTCCACCAGTTTTCATTTGAGTGGTTGGCCCAACTTTTACTGAAACGAAAATAATAAATAGTCGAGGAATTCTAAAGAGCCAAACCTTTGGAATAGGATACTTGAATCAAAAACTGGGATTTCATGTCGACACTTTTTGTGACCACTTGAATCGAGATTTGCTTTCCGGGGAAAATATCGTAGTTTAGAAAACTGTCACTCCGACTGAAAACTTAAGATTTTTAAAAGGTTTTGAGTTTCTCAAATCCCACTATTTCAACGTTGTTTTGCCACCCAAACTATCAGTGACAATCATGTAATCATTGACTCCTTTTAATAAATTTGTGAGAAGAACGGATCCGTATAAAACTTGAGATGAGGTGATTGGGGCTTTGATCTGAAAATGTTTTATCGGGAATATCAAGATGAAAAATATACCACATAGGTGCAATTGAAATTCGGAGGGATTCTGACGTAGTCCGAAGAGTTTACAGGATACCAGAATTGATCGCCAGCAAAGATATCCGAGTCAGGGATTTGTTCGCAATCTGTGGAGAACACATAAACCAATTTGTCTAATTGTAAGAAACAAAAATTACCGAGAGCTGATACATTTGAACAGAATATAAAACATAGTAAAAATAGGAATTGAAGCATTTTTGAGGCCTAGACTAGTGCCAGAATTGGAGAGCTTTTGAACAGAATGTTTAGGAGATTCTCCCGTTTTTGATATTGTCATCATCCAAAAAACCCCTCCCATGTTACATCAGAAGATGACAAAATGTACTGACTTGATCATTTGTAGTTCAAAGTTTCAAAGGCAATGCACAGAAGAGATGATAAGGAAACCCTAGAAACTATGAATTCGCCCGTTGTTTGACATTGTTTACAATTTGTCTAGTTACTTGTAACAAGGGAATGCCGTTCAAAAAGCTCTTCAGAATGTCCCCTAAATTGCTTCATTTAAAGAAACGAGTATGGGCTTATCCGGAAAAAGAGCGGCTACCTGCAACATTCGCTGAAACTCGAGAAAATCAAAACATGTGAGATTTAAAGGAGGCGAGACAGCCAAAATTTCGGGGGACAGTTCGGGGGACGAAATCGCGCCGCGCTTATGTAGACCATCGGTCGTCAGGCGCCTTCAAATCATTGAATTTCGGTTCTTGTAAAAGATATCAAACAACTTTAAAAAGCAAAAGTTTTTGTCTTGAAAACAGCAAAATTTCATTAGTTGACAAGTTTTTTGATAAATCTAACAGGCAACGAGATAATTAGAGTCAAAGGGCGGATGTTTTTGAGGAGTTTCACTGATTTCAAACGTGAAAATTCAATAATTATTTTAACGTGATGAAAAACATTTTTGTGGTTGGAAAAAAAATCGTGACAAAAAAGTGTAAAAACTTAAATTCCACTGAAAAAACTACGTGAATTGGTATAGAAACCCACGACCCTGCCACACTGACCTCAGAAGAAGTACTGGGTCCTGGGTCCTGGGTCCTGGGTCCTGGGTCCTGGGTCCTGGGTCCTGGGTCCTGGGTCCTGGGTCCTGGGTCCTGGGTCCTGGGTCCTGGAACATCGATAGGGAATCAAACCCGGGTCGTTCGCAATTAACCACCGATGTCGCAGCTGAAGCTGCTGGAGCGGGAATCAGAAGCCAGGAATACATAATGGAAAACAAACTGGATCTGGAGCAAAGTCAACTGCTGGTAGAGGATCTAGAAACAGTGTGTTATAGAGAAATCCGCTCTCAAATTCAAGATAATTTTTTTTCAATTCCTGGAACTGAAATCAGTCAATTCATGCAGTGCGATGATCTACGAGAAACAGGTCATTTGGATGGTTTAGACTGAAAATAAGAAGAAAATTAGTTATTGATCATACCATTTCTTTTAGAAACTGGATTAAATAAATGGTGAATCTTTTGCTACATATTCTTTATGGTTTTCATATCTCCGGTCATGTAAGAGATTTCAAAAGTTTTTGACGTACCAAATACTTTTGTAAGTTGACAGTTAGAGTTTTCACAGCCCCTTTGTTGCAAGTTTAAATTTTTCTTTGCAAAATCACATTTATTCAGTATGTAACAAATCAATAGTTGAGAGAAACCATCTTGATTGTTGCAGCACAATTTTCAGCTACAATTGTGAATGACTGGTGAGTGATGTTTCTTGGAAAATCAGTGACTGTCGAAAAATCAAGGAAGACTTCAGAAGTGGCGGTTGGAGGAGATTGAACTGCTTTCAATGAACAGTCTGGGTCAGAGGTCTGAAAATATTTCTCGAATGAAGGCATATTTCGATAACTCTCACCTTATCCACAGACAGAATTCTGGTATAATCATTCATTGCAATAACATTCACTGCTTGTTTCTTTTTGGCCCCAATTTTAGCATTGATATCCAATTGATTTGCTTGGAAATATGTTCCGATTGAAGTGACCGAATCGTATTGAAGTATTTGCGAAAGGGGTGTGAACACAACGGAGCTCTCCGAAACGGAATTATCCAGTCCAACTACTGTCAAATTGTTTCCAGTACTGATATAATTTTGGTAAACAAATCTAGACATTCTGTAAACTTCTTTCACGTGCTCAAAGTCTCCATCAATCACAAAGAAGTTATCGAACTTATCAGCATCCCATCCGGAGTGAGCTACTGATAGAGAGATCTGAAAAGTATGAAACTATGAAAAAAAAGTTGGAAAGAGACGAACGCGTTCTTTGGCCACCATAGTCTGTGGAGTCTTGTAGGAGTTGACTTGCAAATCGTTCAAAGTGAAATATTTCATATCAGGGTTTCCTAGGTAGGTAACCGATGAGTTAAGCTCTGAAATTTGAAATCCGTGGTTTCGAATATTTGAATAAAAAACAACTAACTTTTTTGATAGAAAACCACTAGTCGGAAAGTGGAGTGCATATCCACACTTCTTGTTGTCACTCGGAAAGTTGTGGTGGTATTGGGGAAAACATAAAATTGCATAACTGAGTTGGAACGACTGAAACATAACAGATGAGAGAATTCAGAGGCTCTAAATTGACTCACGATGAAACCACTGTTGTTGTCAATTGCCCATCTCTCCCAATAATCATATCGTTGTTTCCTTTCATCCCATTTTCCAATCTCACTCGTGCATACACCATTGGCGGTACTGAAACCTAAACCAAACATTTTTTCTCAATACCCAAAAAGTAGGTTTGAATTACTTGGTAAGTGCAATCATAGTTTGGTGGGATCTGAACAGGCGTTTCAGCTCCAGCGGGAATGTTTACAAAATGGCCTGTTACAACTGCACTAGCCGGAATTTGAGTGCAATCTGAAGGTTAGAATATTCAGACTAAGATGATTTCTAGAACTTACCCAATGCAATCGAACTGCCGACGAAAGCTGCGATAAACGAGACCAGTAGAACCAATTTCATTTTTGGTACAAAACATTTTGCACTATCAGTTGAGAAGTTTTTATAGCAGTATTCTTATCACCACAATCGCGGAAATAGTTTTTATCAAAAGAGGCGTCAATATTGAGGGAAAGTATGAAATCATAGTTGACTGCGTAGCTAGAAGAGGAATTGCAGGAAACTCAAAAGATGAACAGATAGAATACTCAGTTGCGGTTTCTCGAAAATATGAAGTTTCATATCAAAATTCAAACTGAAAGAAACTTCGAGTGTTGGAAGTGTTCTGAATAGCGTGCTGAAAAACTAGTTCACACCAAAAATACCCTAGCCGTGAATTCTGCATGGCTTCATTTCAGGTTCTACTCGTCCATCTCATCAAAAGTAGCCTGATAGTAACGTCTAATGACGGCTCGATGTGGCAAGGCATGAATTGCACGAAACCACCGACGAGCCAGAAAGCATTTGTTTTTGCACCGAACAGTTACATTTTCCAGGTTCATGCCTCTTTTTCCTTTACTGATAACTTCCTCCAATTGACTATGAAGGAAAGCTTGGCTTATTCGTGTTTCCATCTTGTTTTCGTTTTTTTCGAATAGTTTCAATTTTCCTTCAATCCATGTCATCCATTTTAGGGACATATTTCTCCATAATCTTCAAGCTCTAGCTAGTGTCAACGAAACTTCCGAAAGTAGGCGTCGTTATCAGTAAATGACGCCATGAATTGATAACGGATTATGCTATCCAAAAGTTCAGAAACCCGACAGAAATATTAAATTTTGAAGGAGATCTTAAAGTTACAGTGACACTGATCAGTGGCGTCATTTGCTACAATTTATGAGTTCGTAACCCAACTTTCTTTTCTCACTGTCTCTTTTTTTGCTTATTTGATTAATACCAATCAGTACGGTCTTGATAATCCGTTCACAAACTGATAACGTCCTTCACAGATTTCGACAACAGAGTGATTTTAAGTTTCAAAAACTAGAAACTTCAAAAATTTCAGCACACTTTATTTATACCACGAAATGAAATAAATACAGTATTATTTGATTGAATTTGAGTCTCGAAAGGAAACCAGAAGAAGTAAGGCAACCATTATTTTGATTGTTGGATAAGAGTATGATTTTTCATGTCCAGTAATGCGTGTAACGGTTCAAAGTGATGAGAGAACAAAAAATAAGTTTGGGACTTTTGGAGAAAAAAGGAATATATTGGTTTCAGACTAGAAAAGAAGCTCTGTAGAGGGGGAAAGGAGAGATCGGGACTTGTTTTTGATGGACTAGGTTTTTAGAAGGTTTTGAGATCAAATAGGAGCAAAAGAGAAACTGATCTACAGTCTGAAAAAATGATAAATGTTCAGGGTTCCAGGATGTCCGTAGGGAAATCCAATTCATGGTCGTGATGCTGAAAAATTCCAATTTTTAGAACTGATATTTGAATTTTTCATATTCACATACCGTAAAACCTCTAATAGAACGACACCCGGATCGTCCACTTTGAGCCTATAATCTCATTTTC